AGATGGGATCATGCTTAAAATAAGAAAGAGCTTTGCAGTGATCTTGATTGGTCCATAGACTACTTTAGCCTATGGTTGGTCCAACTCACTTTTAGGATGATGGGGACCTCTGTCTGTTTAGACTGATCTCAGACTTCCCAAACTCTGGGGCTCTTCTATCTGGTGCTTTGGTCCTGGGTTTTCTACATGAGGAAGTCACTTCTCTGACCTCTTGAAGATCTCTGGCCTGGGCTTTGGGCAGGACTCCATGGCCTCACTTGTCACCTAGTCCTTTTCTTGTGTTTCTGGCCCTGAATCTTTGCCTAGAGGTCCAGCTTGTCTGTAGAGCCTATTTTCCTCTGCAAGTCCTTGACTTTGGGTTGTGAATTGGTGTGTTTTGGGCAGGAGCTGGCCGGTCAGGGATTACTGGACTCAATTCTATGTCTGCCTGCACTTCTGAACTAGGGCTGGGAATACAAATCATTATGCATGATTCCCATCTGCACACACCTCCTGTTTTGTGGGAAGGCAGGAAGTATAACAGTAGAAGGTATGAGGGTTGGGGGAAGAGAACAGTAGGGTAGTAACCTGAATAAATGATTGTCAAGAAGAGCTGTATTTTTAAAAAGGCCTGTAAGCCATTGGATTTTCAGATGGTCTGATCAGCTTCTCCTCTCAGTCAGGTGCCAGGAGTCTGAAAGAATACACTCTTATGGAGCTGCTTGTGGTAAGTTGTATAAAGGAAAGCCCCAATACTCGGGAACCCCTGGCTCACTGTGAGGGCTGGCCTGTCTACCCTGGGGGCTGGGGACCTGGGAGTGGTCAGTGATCTGTGGTTTGTAAGTGAGCTGGTTGTTGAGCGTTTTTTACCTAGTATGAGCCAGGATAATGGGCCTGGGCTATTTAAGAAGGTTCAGTAAGGGAGGCTGGACTCTGGGGTCACATGTAACACTTTTGGGGGAAGAAATGGAGGTTTCTTTGCTGGGAGGAGTTGAGCTGATAGGCAGTATGTTGAATTACAGATGCATATGGAAGAGCCTTGTTTTGACTTCCTTCGAACCAAGCAGACCCTTGGGTAAGTCTGCTGGCAAGAGCACTGAACTCAAGTAAGATCTGGGGCTTACTTTGCAGGATTAAGTCGATCAGCTGTACTGACTCAACAGTCTCTCAGTGCTCTTTGGTCCTCCCAGACCTTAAGAGTCATACCTACCGAGTCATACTCAGTAGGGTCATACTGTCAAAACTTTTGCAGTTTGCATCTTCGACTATGATCAGGCTGTCAGTTTGGTCAAGTTTCAAGATTAGCAGAAGAGGCTGGCCTGTGGTCCTCAGTGCGGGAGAGGGGTGGATACCCTAACCTAAGAGTGAACATCTATGGATCCTCTTCCAGGGCCTCTGGGGTCCAGTAAGGATGGGCAGAAACCCTTCCCACTGCTTTCTAGCACCTCCAAGGACAGGGTACAGATGAGCACCTGAGCTCATAGAACTTTTCACTCTGGCCATAGGTACCATGTCTACCCTACCTGTAGGAACACATCTGGGATTCTAGGCTTCTCTGTCACCGTGGGGACTCAGGCAACCAAATACAAGTGAGTAAACAAGTGAGTTGAAGGGCCCAGCTATCGTTTTCTTGGTGAAGAGAATAGGGGCTGCATCCTTGCCCTGACCATTTAGTCACAGCTGCAGTGGGTGGCTCATATATGGCCTGGTCCAGGACTTACCAGTGGGTTTGTAGGGTTTGACTCAAGTCCTATGGTGACTGTGCAGGGCTTGCCACTGCTTCCTCTTTTCAGGCATATCTGAGGACAAGAAAGGCAGATGCCTGACATAGCATTCAGGCTGGAAGCAAGGTACAAGGCCTTGTTGGTCCTCAGCTTTGAAATGGTCAGCATGGCTGTCTACTGCTTCCTATGAGGATACCAGGGAATTGGGCTAGAAGTGGAGTAGGGGTGGGGATTCTTCAAATGTACGTTTCCCTCCCACAGCTTAGGGGAGAATATCACTTCAGCCTCTTTCCTGGAAATATGCCTTAGACCCAATTCTCTCCTTTGCCTTCTGCTCGAGACCTGGTCAGTGATGACTTAATGGAAGATGTTTTATTTTAGCTCTGAAGTTGTTGATAAGAAGATAGAAGAGTTTCTTTCAAGCTTTGAGGAGAAGATAGAGAACCTCACTGAGGATGCATTCAACACCCAGGTGATTGTGCTGGCTTGGTCTTTTTGTTTGTTGGCTCACCCAAGCCCTCATGACACCAGTCTTAACAGTACTGTGTGCTGGGTTCTTGAGCTTTGTTCAGTTCAGTTGCTCAGTTGTGTCCGACTCTTTGCGACCCCATGAATCGCAGCACGCCAGGCCTCCCTGTCCATCACCAACTCCCGGAGTCTACCCAAACCCATGTCCATTGAGTTGGTGATGCCATCCAGCCATCTCATCCTTTGTCATCTCCTTCTTCCCCTGCCCAGCATTAGGGTCTTTTCCAGTGAGCCAACTCTTCGCATGAGGTGGCCCAAGTATTGGAGTTTCAGCTTCATCATCAGTCCTTCCAATGAACACCCAGGACTGATCTCCTTTAGGATGGACTGGTTGGATTTTCTTAATCTGACCACGTCTTCCTAGTTCCATCCCTCGCCATCATGCTGGCTGGTCCATCACAAATTAGACTAGACAGGGTTGAGTGTGCTGAGAATATTTGTGTGATGCCATGCCTGAGAGCATCTTTTTGACGGTAACAGGTCACAGCTCTGATCAAGCTGAAGGAGTGTGAGGACACCTACCTTGGGGAGGAGGTGGACAGGAACTGGAACGAAGTGGTGACCCGGCAGTATCTCTTTGACCGCCTTGCCCATGAGGTAGTAACATGGTTTTCAGAGTACGACAGCTGTGACAGGGATTGTTTATTTAACAGGAGACACAGTTCTAAGCAAGTTAGTATTGTGTGGAGGAGAGACTGGGGGCACTCATCTCAGGTTGGTTATTTACTTGCCCATTTCTTGATGTGATTAAATTACATCTTGTTTCCAGACTGGCTACTGTAGTGCCTCAGGTGGTCAAGTGAGCAGGATGCTGGATATTCTTACTCTTCTTCTTACTCTTGCTCCCCCAATTTCATCAGATCCACTTTTTAAAAAATTGAAGTACAGTTGATTTACAATTTTGTGTTAATTTCTGTTGCAAAGTGATTCAGTTATATTTTTTTTCCTTTCATTTTTGTATTATATATTCAGATTCACTACAAGGTTTGGGAGAAAAACAGGTTCTGCTAAAGAAAATTGCGAACTTCTGGTGTTTATGAAGTTCCCTCTCCAGATTTAAGGATTCTGTGTGTAGGTCTTTGTGACAACTTCCAGCCCCAAGTAATAAATCCCATTTAAATGAGCTCTGAGTCCTACAGTCCAGTGCTCTGATACTATAACCCTATGTGGTGAATTACCAAAGGACATTAAAGCAGAGGGGTATTTAACACAGAGGCTTCATTCAGCCCAACTCCTGAGGTTCTGCAGTTTTCCTGTTAGAAGCCAGAGGGTAAATACTTACCATGACACTAAGGTGTGCTGGGTTTGACTCCTTGTACAGTACTTAGCTGTAGTTAGAGAATCTGCTATTCTCTCCTGCTTATTATCTGCCAGTCAGTGCTAAGAAATATGAAGGTAGTCAGGTGCATTTCTATCTTTATCTATCCGGAAGGCTGGGAGCCAGCTCAAACATGTTAAAATAGTGTGCTTACAATAAGCAGGACCAAGGAGGTCTGCCTAGGGTGTTATGTTTAATAACTATCTTTGCAGAAATATACTGCTAGTTTTTTATAGCTTTCTTTCATATCTTCCCTTCTCCCATTAAGATTGAAGCACTGAAGTCATTCTCAAAATCAGACCTAGTCAACTGGTTCAAGGCCCACAGAGGACCAGGAAGTAAAATGCTCAGTGTTCACGTAAGTATTGTTACCTGAGCTGTAGCTCTCCCTTTCCAGGCCTGTCATTCTCACCCACTTGCTGAGTTTGGGTTGGTGTCCTAGATCCTACTAGGTCTTTGCCCAAACGTGGTCGGCATTCTCTCTCACCTTAGGTCTTTGGCCTTTTTCAGGTTGTTGGATTTGGGAAGTACGAGCTGGAAGAGGATGGTACCCCTTCTGGTGAGGATTCAAACTCTTCTTGTGACGTGATGCAGCTAACCTACCTGCCAACTTCTCCTCTGCTGGTAGACTGTACCGTCCCCATTATTGATATCAGGGGTTTCACATCAAGACTTAACCTTCTCCCCTACCATAAAATAGTCAAATAAACTGCAGTCTCATTGGCCTGAAGCACTGTGCATTTAAGTGTTTTGAATTTTATGAAGTTACACTACTACTGCCTTAGGGCTTCCATTGAATTTTTGCACTGGCATCATAGAATTTGATTTACTACCCTCCCCCTTCCGTTGTGACTAACAGACCAAGGGTTACCATAGCAGCTGCAGAGATAAACGAGCAGGGCGGGCCAAATGTAACCAAAAAGCTTGCCGGAGCAGTCTTGAGATGCCCTGGCCTGTCCTGGTCTTCTCAGATTGAGAATTCAGTTCTGTGTGACTGCCTTGAGAGGCCCTATGTAACTAGTGTCTTCTTAGTACCTAAATGCCAGGTGCTAATACCTGTGTTGTTGTTTTTAATGTATTTAAAAATAAAGATTAATTCTGTATTGCCCTTCAGAATGAGCCATTTGCTGCTGTGACATTCCTTTTATTATATTTTATTTCAATGTGGGGTGGAGATCTAAAAATAAACATTCTTCCCAAATTCTCTAAGGCAATAAAATATTTTTGGATAAAAGGTTGGTAGCCCTATGTGTACTATTTGAGAGTTCAATTAAGACAAGAATAGCATGGTGGGGGCTACAGACAGAACAGAGGAGTATAAGGAAGGGACAGGATGGAGCGACCCCCTTCATTATTCAGAGTGTCCCTGTAAAAAGCTAGCCCCTGTATTCAAGGTTGCCAAGTAACTGGGTCCAAGTTTAATCATAAAAATAATAAGCACATTAAAAAAAAAAGGTTGGAAAAATTACTTTATGAAGCCTGAAGCATTGAGTATAATTAAACCATAGTCCAAAGTTAGATACAATAATAGTTCAATTCCAAAATAAAAGTTATAGGTGAGACCATGAAACTTCTAACACGTGATTTTAATACATTTCACTAAATTTTCTAAAACAACTCAGAGGAACTGCTATTTACAGTAAATGGAGTATTTATGAAAAATCTGGCATCAGCTATATTATATATATGTATATAGGTATATATAGAACCCAAGATTATATGAACTAGGAAACAGGTTGTATTGTATATCTCAACAGCAGTACTAGAATGCAGAGTTTAAGACTGGGATTTATACCGTGGGATTTGGAAAAGGAGCAGACATTTTGTTTTCAAAACCTGAAGTTTTTCTCAAGACCAAAATCAACGTTGTAACTGCCACAGACAGGAAAAAGGGAAGCTTTGCTTGCTTTAATTGTTCATCTGCATCAGAAAGTCCAGTATCCCTGAGATAGGAACCACTGCAATAAGAAGGGAGTGAATAGGTTCTCCCAAAGGAAGATTGTTGCTTAATTATGCCTCCTGCCCTGGAACCAGGAGCAAACTTTGTGTTTCCCAACCTAATGCTTGGCAGCACCGAGACGCTTCAGTAATGGTTCATCATAAACCCAGCATTCTCCATCTTCATGAAACAACTGTTAGAGAAAGGGGGAAAATTCAGTTACACATTTGTTTTGTACTTCTATATCATACTTTTAATTATTTGATGTGCTCCCCCCCCCCCCCAACAGTGAAACAAATATTCATTTCATTTATCACCATGCTTATTTGGTACTTCAGTATTCACTGAAATGAATGAATGACAGCTCGGGGAACAGCAGCTAGCAGACCAAGGCAGGCTCCCCAAAACAAACTTACCCTTGTCTCCCACTGAATTTCCTTTTCCTTCCTTTCTCGGGCTTCTGCTCTTTGTCTTTCTTCAAGTCTATGCTTGGCTTCAGTTGCTGCATCAATGTCTCTGATTTTTAAGTTGAAAGTGACATCCTTCCAAAGGCTAAAGAAAAGAGGTGAAGGTGCTAAGTACTTGGTGGAGAGAGGAATTAGCAATTTGAAAATGAAAGGCTAGAGCCATCTAGAACATAACGTAATTACAGTACAAGTCAAATGGCTTTAAATGTAGTTCACAGACTAAATCTCCTTAGGCTGACACAGGGCACAGGAGTAAAAAACAGAAACAGACTCGGAAGATCCCACTGCTGGTTGTCAAAGAAGGAAATAGAGCATGTGCAGAAAGCTGTATATATGGTTGGGACGAGAGGAGAAAGATCAACTGAGACTACTTTTCGCTGTACCTCTAAATTAGCGATGCGACCTTGGGGCTGTCAGTTCACCTCTCTAGGGCGTCAGTGTCCCCTTATATTAAATAACCTCAGGGAACAGCAGTTTATATTAAATAAACTAAACGGGAGATGAGAGGAGCTGAGACGTTCCATTTCATAAAGACTCCCCTGGAATGAATTAATCTGGGAGAAGCAGTTTGAATATAGAGTAAGGGTCAAGAGAAGCATTGCAGAGGCTTAAAGCTGGGGGTGGGGGGAGGAGATCTGGCTTCCTAAGGCCTGGAAGATGGTAATTTGGACCAGGCTTTTCTAAATGAGGATGCATAAGGATTAGAAAAGTAGCCATCCTAAGATCCCCTCGTGTGAGCAGCAGAGCGTAAAAGTCTATAGATTTCCACTTATAACTATGAACAAGCATCCAGGCAAATAAGACTGTTTATTCTTTCAAGTTTTTAAGTTTTTTAAGACCTAAAGATGTTTTGAGATGTATCTATATCCGTATATACAGATAGTCTACAAAGATGGTGATAAGCCAACATCCACTTGATACTTATCATATGTCAAGCATCATACATGGGCTCCATCTACATCTCATTTAGTTCTTGTAGCAGTGCTGAGGTGGTTTCCATTTCAGGAAAGGATGCAAAGACAGGTTAGCTTACAGTCAACGTTACAGTGCAAGAGAAGAGGGGAGCACCGTATGAACCCAGGCATTCAGACTCCACCTGTGCTGTTACACCCTGCTATGCAGTCTGCAACCTGGCCCTGCACCTATGCCTGGCCAATAGCAAGAGCATTGCTGCTATAGTTATGTTGTCTCCTTACCAGCGGGATTCGTACTCATTCTGATCTTCCAGCTTCCTTACTTTCTTTTTAATTATAGGCAACTTCTTGGTATCTATAAAAACTACATTTTCCTAAAAAAACAGAAAAGGTAGGTAGATGTTTTATTGTTCACATTGTTCTAAGAGAAAAAGCCAACTCTTCTCATTAACAGATTTAATAATGAAACCTCACAATATGTTAGTGATGTAGACAATGAGTTCCATATGCAACCTAAAGCCTAAATCGTTTAAGTCTTGGTAAAGGCTCTTGGTAAAAATAGGTATTTTCAATGTAGCTATGTGTTGGGATGTAACATGACTGGGATGTAATATCTTGGACTAGCTAAACAACTAATCCTAATGTTAAGTACTCTGACCACTTTTTCCCATATATTATTCCTGAGTATTTTAAGGGGACAGGAAAGTAAAAATCATTCTGTACTGCTGGGGAAAGGTGGAAGAAGGAAAAGGCTTGGCTTTAAGAGATGGCATTAGAGCTCATCTTGGTGGTTAAAATTTCCAGATGAAGGAAGCCAGAGTAAGGGACAGGCTACGATTCGATGAAGCCTAAAAACAAGTGGCAAAACACATGTTCTTACCCCTGTTGAGTATTTTGCATACATTACACCATTCCACTCCCCTTCAATGGAGCAGAAAGACTTCTTGTCATTTGGAGAACTACATTAAAAACAAAAAACAAACATTAAAATACATTTGTATCAGTCTCAAATTGAAATTTCTCTACCAAAGAATCTTGTCAGTTGTGGCCTACCTACCCAGAGCAGAACACAGAAGAGCAACTGTAAAGGTAGATTAATAAAACTGGTTTATTTGGGAAGGCAGATTAATTAAACTGGTTTTCTCAGAGCCAACTACAAGAATTAATGCCCTAAAGATGCTGCTAATGGACTCAAGATCCCAGAAACTGTGGGTATGAGAGTTGTTAGGTGCTGGGACCACAGCAGACTACAAACTCGAGCTCTTCGCAGTCTAGTGGGGAGACACTGCCACTGAAATTCTGGGTGCCAAGTGCTATTACGTCCAGGTGACCCCACACAGGAGATCAAGGGCAACACTGCTACGATGAGGGTCAGCGAAGGCGTTGCTTAAGGATACAATGATGGAGACCAGACTTTCATCTTCAGGCTGGGCCATAATATTAAGATGTTATCTAAGGAGCCCACCAAGCACTCTTTCAGAAGGCAGTTTATTATAAATTACTGTGACTGGCCAAAAAATCTGCTAGCAATTCCTCTTGGTGCTGGTTGCTGTAAGGAACTCTGAGAAGCAGGCCCACCCATGTTTTTGTTCTGGACATCCTTTTTCTCCCGCCTGCCTGTCTTGAGGGGGGCACTCACATTATAGCAGTGAATTGTGCTGCTCCCTAAGCTCTGTCCCTATTTCCTGACTGCAGTAATATTTTGGATTTTACAGTGTTCCTTAGTAAACTTCATCTTTTGTTCATGGTCCTTTCCTCCTTCCTTCCTTCCAAGAATTTTCTGGATGTTGACTCCATCATCAAAATTAAATTATCTCCCTAAAAAACTGGTTAACCAATCCTGTGTCGGCCATCTGCAACACTGCTCCCAGTGAGGCCTCTGAGGACAGAGAAATCCCTGCAGGGTCTCCTTGTCTAGGCAGGCTCTGAACCCAGCTGACTGCTGACTTGGGACAGCACAGCCATCTTCATCTAATCCTGGAGCGTCAAACAGAACCAAAGATACAATGGTTACTGTTTTTCCCCAGCAAAGGCACACAAAAAAACAAGGACTACAAGGGCTTTGAGACACTACCTACCCACAGGGTCTCCTGTATGGACAAGCTCATGGTCCAATCCAGCAATAATGAGTTAGGCATACATAATCTGGGTTAGCTAGGAGATCCAGGAAGACTCCTTAAGTTTCCTATTTGCAAGTCAGGTTCCTAGGAAAGAAATCCCACCAGTGACCTCAGATTGTTCTTAGGTCTCCCTTCTGAGATGGGATTTTAGGAAGAGACACAGCATGTAAAATAAGTTTACAAAGACAGGACCATTAAAATGATCAATTTTTGATGGAAATTATAGTTCAAGACAAAAGGAAAACTATTTCAGAGATGCAGAAGGAGCATCGAAGCAGAAAAACAAAATACCTACAAAATCTCAGCAGTAATTCTGTGCTTCTTGCCCCCATAGAAAGGTTTAGTGTGGAAGACGATATTTGCACTATAGCCAGTTTTGGAACAATTAATATTGCATTCTCCGCCTAGTTCCACCCAGGGCACTGTGAGGATAGACCTGCAAAATCAAAAGTTACAGTAAGGCTGACAGTTCAGAGGAAAGAAAGGAGGGGCACAACTTAAAGAACAGCAGGGTCTACTGCTTGCGCATCAGAGAAACGGACCAGCTCTACTTGCCTGCCATAACCATTGGGGAACGTGAGAATGTAATGTTCATCATGCTCGAGACACGAGACACAGCCTGTGGAGAGAAGGGATGGAATCTCCATTCAGTTTAGGGATAATCACTCTTGCATCTCAACTTGGCGCTCACCCCCAACACAGTTGCGTCCCTGCACAAAATGACATCCCATCTGACTTTCTGGGGTCATTTCCTCTCACTAGACAGATGTCCGGCACACATAAGAATGACACAGAGTTCTCCCATTAACACTATGTAGTCCACCCAAAGCCCGCAGACTTACCCTGCCCTATGTTGTGCACCCCAATTGACATGCCAAGGAATTTTGATTTGGTCCAGATATGAGCATTGAATTGTATCTTCTTATTAAAACACTCAGCATAAAAGGCTGAAACTGGAGAAATTGTTTCAGTTAGTGCACTATATAGCCTCATTTTATTTATATACATACACACCATAAACATACATGCCCCCCCACAAACATACATGCCCCCCCACCCCCAGCTCCCTTAACTCAGAGAAACTGGCTGCATGGGGAAAATCCTTTACCTTTCAAAGAACAGCCTTGAATATGGTCAGGAATTACCCACCTGCCCTTTACACCGTTTCCCCCAGTGCAAGCCACTGTTCAGGACCACATGGGGAAGAACTTCCTGAACCAGGAGGCCAATCCCAGGGCTTAAAAACAAAGGGTCTGTCTGTTCTGATCAGCAAGCATGCTGCTGCCCCAGTCCAGACCTGGACCCATACAGCATAATCAGTCTTAACATGGCATCCAGCAAGTAACATAGGAAGACATGCATTCTTTCCACTGTGCTAGGAACAAACCATACTGAAACTACATCTGTTTTATATGAATTGTCTTCAGAGTTGCTGAGATCGCTACAGCACAGCTCATGATGTGAAAGATGACTTTAGAAGCATTAAAAGTTGGCTTCCCAATCCCTTCTTTTTATATTAATTAATCAATGAAGCTAAGAGAGTCTTTGGAACTCATAACAGATATGACAAACCAATCTTCACAGGACTGGGAAGACACAGCTAGCCATTAAACATGAGGACAGTGCAGAGACCTCAGTTACGGAGCTTTCTATGACCCTCTTTAGACAACAGTTTGAAAGTGGATGTAGCTGAAGAGCTCTGTCACTTACTGGGTGGATGATGAGAAACCTGCTCAGCCACAAACGTTACACTATTCTTGGAAACCCAGGGAACTGGTCCTTCTGAAACCAGCTCCTGCAAGCAAACAGAACATCATTTTCTTCTGATGTGGAAACAAACAACATGCAGAGAATCTAATAACTGGAGTCTCTGTCTCATAAGGTGGTTAAATGCTCTCTCCTCTACACTCACAAAGCATCTCATATACAGTTTTCCTGCAGCACTTAATTACACTATTGGAATGACTGCTCTCTGTAAGTCTCTCTAAGACATGCAGGAAGGCAAGGATCATGCGCCAAACTTAGGGCCAAGCCTGGCACAGAACAGGTACTTATCAAGGCCTGCAAAATGACCAAGAACAGACACACACTGCTTGTGTCCTCAGTGTGTGTGTGCTCAGCTGCTCAGTCATGTGTGACTTTTGGCAGCCCCATGGATTGTAGCTTGTCAGGCTCCTCTGTCCATGGGATTTCCCAGCGAAGAATACTGGAGTGGGGTGCCACTTCCTTCTCCAGAGGCCACCTGGGAAGCAGGATTACATGTAATGCATCATTCGGAAAGGGAAAAATATGGAGAGTTACATTTACTGAGAGATTGTTATGTGCCAACCACTGTGGGCTATGGGCATATTTTTTCATCTCTTGAACTCCAGATTCTTTCTAACTCCCTATCTGACAGTCCACTTACATGTCTAAGAGACTTGCCATACGTTATATTTCAAATTGGGAGTTCTAGACTTCTCCCTCTCCAAATCCAATCCTTCCCTTTGTAGTAAATAGCACCAGCCCACATGCAAGGATTCATCTCTAACTTACCTCCCACAATCTAAAAGCTCTGGCTCCAAAATATAACTTGAATCAACTATTCTCCTGGAATAATGCCAAAGTGTCAATGGTTTCCTTGCTTCTATTTTTGCCTCTTTTCAACTCCTCTGCCACAAAATAATCATAATAACCTCTTCATTACAAAAATGAGTTCTTGATAAGTCATAAAATTATCCTTATGGTCCATGAGGACTTGCATGATCTTATTTCTCAATTTCTATCCTCATCTCACACCACTCTTTTCCTTTGCTCACTATATTCAAAACATGCTGATCCAACAACATTGTTCTTTTATGGGTGGTAAACATCTTTTAATTAGTGCCTTTACCACTATCATCTGCCGCCAAATAAAATGAAATCTTGAATCAGTACATTAAGAACTAAGTACTAAGATACATGTATATTATCAAGTGTGAAACAGATTGCCAGTCCAGGTTTGATGCATAAGACAAGTGCTCAGGGCAGGTGCACTGGGATGACCCAGAGGGATGGGATGGGGAGGGAGGTGGGAGGGGGGATCAGGATGGGGAACACATGTAAATCCATGGCTGATTCATGTCAATGTATGGCAAACACCACTACAATATTGTAAAGTAATTAGCCTCCAACTAATAAAAATAAATGAAAAAAAAAGTAGGCTTCTCAAAATAAAGAACTAAGATAATTAAAAACATTAGTGGAGAACTCACCACATTCTCTTCAGTATCATTTGGTAGTGTCCAGTGACACTGAAAGATTTCACCCAAAATGGGGTTGTATGGCTTTTTGGCAACCGATCCTTTCCTTCCTGCGTGAAAGGCTGAGAGATACCACTTCACAACCTGAACCATTCGGTCTCTGGCATCCTTCTGGTCACTAATACTGCAAGGAAGAAAGACAAAATTTAACATCCTGCGTTTTGACAGTACCCCTCAGCATGGTCCACCCCCAAAGCCAGGCTGAGAGGACCTAGGACCAGTAACCACCTCAGCTCCTTTTTAAAACTGAAGCATAATACACATAATCAAACATACCAGTCTCAATTGTTTGGTTTCATGAATCTGAAAAATGCATATATCCATTTAATTAATCTTGGGTGTAAGGGAAATGTTCTATGTCTTGATTGTACTTAATAATGACATACAATCAAGATACAGAATATTTCCATTACCCCCAGGTTTCCCCATCCTCCTTTCCAAGCAATCCTCACCCCTTAACCCTGAGGCAAACACTGTTTCTGGTTTCCAGTACCATTAGTTTTGCTTTTTCCGTAACTTCATACTTGTTAGTGCACTGTTTAATTGCAAAACAGTTGGAGATTTTCTGGATGTATCTATGTTACTGATTTCTAATTTAATTCTTCAAAGATCAGTGGATATATTCCATATGGTTCCAATTATTTTAAATTTATTAAGTCTTTCTATTATATAGTACATCTTGATGAATGTTCCACGTGCACTTAGAAAGACTATGTTATAGTGTTTGGTAATATTTTAGAAAGGTTAACTAGATCTTCCATAGTCCCACTGATTCTCAGAGGGGTGGGGAGAGGTGCCTGCTGTTCAATCAATTCCTGAGGGAGGAATTTCCAACTGTGATTGTGTATTTGTCTATTTCTTCCTTTAGTCAATTTTTGCTGCATATAGTTTGAAGCTGTTTTACATATTTACACTGATAAACTGACTCTTATGAAATAGCCCTACTTGTCTCTGGTAATATTTCTTACCTTAAAAAGTATTTTTTGTCTGATACTAATACAGCAACACCGGCTTTGCTATGCTTAGTGTTTTACATGGTATCTCTCTGTCCATCCTTTTACTTTTACCAGCTAAGCCACAAGGGAAGACCTATCCTTTTACTTTTAACCAATCAAACAGAGTACACATCAATCTTTTTTTTTTTTTAATCCAGGCTTAAAAATCACTGTTCTCTTAAATGGAGTATATATGATATTCACATTTAACGTACTATGAATATAGCTGGGTTTAACTCTATCATCATGGCATTTGTTTTCTATTTGGCCCCTTTATTCTTTGTTCTATTATATTTCCTTTCCTCCTTTTTGGGAGAGTTAGAATTTTTAGAATTACACTTAATCGTATCTATTGGTGTTTTAGCTGTATTTCTATAGTTTTTAAATGGTTCCTTCTAGGGATCTGAATTCTCATACATAAAAATTATCCTTAAACCTCAAATCTATATAAAATGAATAACTGGTACTTTCTATTATCAATAAATGCTTACATTTTATTTGTTCAACTTTGTATGAATTTAAACAATGCCATATTTAATTTCTGCCCTTTGGGAAATGGTTAAATGAATCTCTTAAAATCCTCATTAAGAAGTTACATATCAGTGTCATCCAATGTGCCCACCCACTGTGAAACTTCAGTGATTTGTATCTGGCTTTAGTAAATCACAGTCCAAGGCCAAGGAATGCAATCAGAGAAGACAGATTAGAACATCCTGTTACAAACAAAATGCTCCTGCTACCAGTGAAAAGCAATGTGAACTCACTCACCTCCTCATAAATCAAACCCACCTTTAGATTACTCCTGTCCTTTATACATATATCTAATACTGTAATTTTTGTATTTAAAATTTATGAATCAGTCTGTAATCTGGACACTGGACTATAAACTCCTCAAATGCAGACACTGCAACTCTTTCCCTTTCCAGCTCATAATAAAGTGCTGACAAAAAACTAGTGCTTTAGAGAAGTTTGTTAAACTCAAATAACTCAACTTCATCAGGATGTAGTATCAATAATTTGATAGTGATTACCAACTCCTAGATCAAAAAAAGCTCTGTAAATACTGGCTGCCTTACTAGTAGGTGCTCAAGATTTTTTAAGGTGTTCAACTTGGTTGCCTAACAGTATCAGCACCAGATAACCTAAGCAAAGAGGCATCTAATACAAACAAAAGATTCAATGCCTTTTTCCCTCAGAAACATCTTGAAAGGCAAAGGAATCTATCCTGCAAAGGCAGAAAGGTAATGAGTAACATCTTTTAAAAAGTGGAAGCTACTATATCAAGTCAAATACCTCACAAACAGGTCCGGATGAGCAAAAAAGTCTGCATACATTTCTAAAAGAGATCTTCTTTCAAGAATAAATGTTGGAAGAACTACCTGAAAAACAAACATATTTGACCCTTGAGAATCAAATTCCACTACAGATATATAAGACTGCTGAGCTGCATTTAAAAAGAAAAACATGTAAATGAGAACAAAAAAAAAAAAAACTGATTCCAATCACAGTAACATCCACCAAGTACTGCCCAGGCATGCTTTTGATACCTACTTCTCAAACTGTTCTGATTCAGAAATGCCCATTAACCTGCCTAAGAGATGAAAGACAGAGATTCTGAATGTTCAAATGTCACTTTCTCTGAGCAACCTCTCTTTGGCTCCCTGAATCAATCATCAAAATTTTAGCAATAACAACTATGCAGTAGCAACCCTTTGATATCTTTGACCTTCTGGAGCATCACATACACACATTATCTTATTAAATCATACAACCATCTTGTTAAGAAGAAATTATCATCCTTATTTTACAGTGGAGAAAGTTAAGTTCTGTCGCTCAGTCGTGTCCAATTCTTTGCGACCCCATGAACTGCAGCACACCAGGCCTCTCTGTCCATCACCAACTCCTGGAGTTTACCCAAACTCATGTCCATTGAGTCAGTGATGCCATCTAACCATCTCATCCTCTGTCGTCCCCTTCTCCTGCCTTCAATCTTTTCCAGCATCAGAGTCTTTTCAAATGAGTCAGCTCTTTGCATCAGGTGGCCAAAGTAATGGAGTTTCAGCTTCAACATCAGTCCTTCCAATGAGCACCCAGGACTGATCTCCTTTAGGATGGACTGGCTGGATCTCCTTGCAGTCCAAGGGACTCTCAAGAGTCTTCTCCAACACCACAGTTCAAAAGCATCCA